CAGAGTGTACAGGTGAGGGATATTGGACGGTAGCTGGTGATGTCAAATTTATTTTTCTCAGGTTTTAGGATTGGTATAGCTATTGCTTGGCGCCATTTAATAGGAAAAATACCATGAGTCCAAATAAGATTGTAGATGGCCAGTAATTTATCAAATGCGTATTTAGAGAGGTTTTTGATAAAGACGTATGGTATACAGTTAATACCATCACAAATAATAATCACAACATGATATGTAGTAAAAGTTACAAATTTTAACTGGAACTATTATAATAACAAATAATTTATACTTAATAACATTATAAATTTAAATACTACTTGATGATTGATTGTTAATAATGTTTAATACATTAATAAATGTGATGAATACTGAATTTTAAAACTTAAATTGATCAGTAACCTACTAACTGCAATTAAAACAACCAATACAAATAATTTAATATAGCGATAAAATAATAAATCTCACCAGATAGTTAACAATATTATTTTCCATATAATATTAATTTGATGTTTTTCATTATTCTGTAAGTAGTTACGACTTAACGGGTTTCAAGAATGAAGTAATGACTATTCAGCGTATGAGTTACATATGTATACTAAAACCAAATACCTATTTTATTTAGAACTTCCATGGAAAAATAAGAAATTAAGTTTAAAAATACCAAAAATATTTTCCCGAAATGAAAATACAAACAAAATGTCATACCATGAAATAATACACGAATTATGATTATGCATAGAAAATCTATATGTATAAAAGAAAGTTAAGTTATTATAGAATTTATAATTCAAGAACGGCTGGTCCGATTTCGATGATCTCTGATTTGTTGGATTCGTCTCCGTACAAGAATAAAAATAACTCTATTCTTGGCAAGAATACAGAAAATTATCTAAATAAAATGATCTAGATAAGTATTTAGATAACTTAGCGTTATTATCTAAATGAAATAAAAGATGACAAAAAATCTATCTAGATAAATCCCAACACTGATCACTAGTAGATAGACACACTATCAATTTAATTAATTATTTGTACTTAGAAAAATTTTAAATAAACAGTTTAACTAGATTGAGTATTTTATTTGGAATATTTTCCTAAATCTTCAACATCTTTACGATTGAACGACGGCACGCAACACAGGTTACGACGCACATTTATGTATAAAAAATTCAACTGTGATAATCAAAGAATAAACTTGATTCCAAATAATGAGTAAAAATATATATCTTTTTCAAATATTTTGAGCTATCAATCATCTGCTTGTATGAAATATAATTTTTTGAATAAATTCTGCAAAAAAAATATTATTTGTGAAAATCAAATCGAGATAAGATTTTTAGATTCTTTCAAAATCCTATCTTGTGGTCTAGATGAATTAGCCAATATTCTAAAAACCAGTTTAAAAAGCGTGGAAAACATTTTTCAAGAGAACATCTAGATTTAATAACTAAGAAATTGTCTTATCCTTATGAATATATGGATTGCATCGAAAAATATGATGAAACATGTCTACCTCCCAAAGAGCTTTTCTATAGTTTTCTAAAAAAGGAACATATAACAGACGATGATTATAAAAATGCTCAAGAATTTTGGAATGCGTTTAATATACAAAATTTCACAGAATTTACCATGTTGTATAACAAGATAGATGTGTTCCTCTTATCCGATATCATTGAAAACGTTCGCCATCTATCTTTGGAAACCTATAAGCTTGATCCTTTATGGAGTTACACGACTCCGGGATTTGCGTGGAGTTGCATGCTCAGAAAAAAAGAGTAAAATTAGAATTATTAACAGATTATGATATGCACTTATTCATTGAGAAAGGATTAAGAGGAGGGATGACTTAATGCAGTGTTAAATATTCTAAAGCGAACAATAAATACATGGGGGAAAAATTTAATAAAAATAAAGAATCCGTTTATTTGGAATATTTAGACGCGAATAATCTTTATGGGTGGGCAATGTCTCAATACTTACCTCGTGGAGGATTTAAATGGCTTAATTCAAGTATAATCACAGATATATTAAATCTGGATGTAAATTCTCCTAAGGGGTATATTTTTGAGGTCGATTTAACTTATCCTGAAGAACTCCATGATAAACATTCAGATTTCCCTCTCGCTCCAGAAAATCAATTTGATGGTGTCACATTACCCAAACTCACTCTAAATTTATATGATAAAAAAAAATATGTCGTTCACTACATAACATTGCAAGAATATATTCGTAATGGCTCGAGAGTAGAGAAAATTCATAAAATCTTGGAGTTTGATCAATCCCCTTGGTTAAAACCTTACATCGATTTAAAAACAAATCTCAGAACAAAAGCTAAAAATAATTTTGAAAAAAATTTCTATAAACTGATGAATAACAGTGTTTTTGGTAGAACAATGATGAACGTGAGAAATAATGTTGATATTAGATTGATAACAAATGCTGTGAATTGGAAAAATTAATTGCGAAACCAAATTTCGATAGAGCTATGGTTTTCATAGAAAATTTAGCTGCAGTACATATGAAAAAAACTTCGACCAAATTGTTTCAACCAATTTATGTTGGGATGACTATATTAGACATTTCTTAAAAATTGATGTATGATTTTTATTACAATGTTTTGAAGGATAAATACGATAAAAAATACGATTATTATGCTGTTATACAGATTCTTTAATAATAGAAGTGAAAACCAGTGATTTTTATCGGGATATGAAAAATGACATAAAGCATTACGATACATCTGATTATCCCTTGGATAATATTTATAATATCCCATTGGTAAACAAGAAAGTAATAGGAAAATTCAAAGATGAGCTAAACGGTAAAATAATGGCTGAATTTATTGGTATACGATCAAAATTATATTCTTTCACGGAACCTAATACAGAGAAAGAAGTCAAAAAAGCAAAAGGAGTGAAAAAATTAATGGTTGATAAAGAAATATGTCACAATGATTTTAAAAAATGCTTGTTGACTCAAAAATCTCTACGTGTTATACGAAATATTTTTAGAACTAAAAACCATGACGTTTGTACAATAGAATAAAATAAAACAGCACTCTGCGCTCATGACGATAAAAGAATCATACTAGAAAATGGAATTGATACTCTAGCTTGGGGTCATTATAAAACAGAAATACCTAGAGAAAATTTCGTTGACCATATTAATAATATAATCAAAACTAACTCAAAAAATTATAGAAAAAGACTGCGGAACATAAATTAAATAATTTTAAAAAAACTAAATGGAAAAGATTTCGAAATCTAAATTTTAATTTATTTGAAATTTAACAAGAAAATTTTATTATTTCAAAATTATTTTGAAATAATTATGTGAAACGCTTATTATATGAAATTTACTGGAAAATTAGTTTTAAGTGAAAAAAAATCAATAAATAAGTTTTATGTGAAAAAGATCAGAAAATTAATTTTATGTGAAAAAGATCAGTAAATCAATTTTGAAGAGAAAAAGATCAGAGCGCACCAGGATTGGTATTTGTATACTACTTATATGCGTTAAATTTTAAAAAATTCAAAATACCCATATTTCCTAGTAGTTAACTAGCTTATTATTTAATTTTTGTTTTGTAGACCAGTGTTGAAAACAGGGGGGAGGGGGTAAAGGGGTTGTAAACGACCCCGACATTTTCTCCGATGTCTAGGTTAAAATTTACAAATTTTACAAGTTTGAAATATGAAAAGCTAGTATTGAATACTTAGTATCATTGATTATAGAATAGTCTATTCTATTATCAATGCTATTATTTAAGTCAAAATATATTAAAGATTTGCATAAATTTGTTAATTGTAAAATATGTTTTTTTATTTACCTTGACCCCTCCTCCCCAAACCTATTAGCATTTATAGGATTTATCTGTACAACGAAAAAAAAATACGTATATATTTATATATTTATATTAATTTTTATATGAAATAGAATTCCAAATTACTTTATATTTAATATATTTTTTAAATCATATTATGTTATTGAAAGCAACATACGTTGTTTGAAAAAATAATTTTTTATTATGCTTCATCTAAATCTTGAACAACTATTATTACTCATTATACTACTTATTTGAATTAAAACTGAATGGACTCTCTTTATTCGTCGTTAAAAAAAATTGACCACGATTACTGCGAACAAAAATGTTTTACCATTACATTTCTAATTAAAAATTTCATCCTCACATTCTTGACAATCAGTTTTGTTTATTTTTATAGTTTAGTATACATAATAGTTATGCGAACAAAATAATATTTACTCTTTATTTACATTATGACCCATATGGTTGGTTGGTAAATTTTCATTTTTCATTGTTTGTTTGGTCTTTGGATCATATAATTTACTAAAAAAAGCCGATTTATTGGTTATCGATTCATTGTAGTATTCATAAGATCTTGCATCACTGCAAAACACTGAAAGACAATCATCAAAAAATGCTGATTAATTAATCAATAATTTTACTTAATTTCGTTGCACAGAAATGTATACATATATAAAAAAATTTTTTTTAGACAAACAAACGCACTGAAAAAAAAATTCTTTCAGTTAACAACATTTATATTTATTTCATTTACAATTGTTAGTTGCCAAGGGGATAGCTATAAAATTTGCTAAAGTTACTTATAGAATTTAGTAGAAAAATTTTTGATGAAATAGCAATAAGCATTGTTATTGAATTACCTATAAATAAATATAATATCACTTAATACATAAAATAATTTGTCCAGACTGACTGATTCATTATCGCCTAGCCAAAACCACTGAAGTAATGAGGATAACATTTGGTCTGCAGATTTTCTTCATGATATAGAGGCCCACTAAAAAAGTAATTTTCAAAATGCAACGCTTAAATAGTTGAAAGGGTTGAAAGGTGTAAAAATGGAAAAAATGACCCAGCAGAAACTGCTAATTTGGTCAATAGTTTTTTTTCATTACATACTGACTTACAAAGCATTTATTTCACAAAATTTAACCCCAAAAATTCTGTATTAAAATTGCCTAAATATTGCTAAATATTATAAGTAAGGGTTATAAGCACTGATGAAGTAAAGCCGTGCCTAAAAGCTTCATATTTGTGGCCACATACACTACTGCTAGGATTTTCGCTAGGATATTACTCGAAATAAGAGACGGAAATTTCTCTACGATGGAATTTAAGATCGCTATTCCTTACCTAATTTGGGTATAGCTGTTAGCAGTGGCGTAGCCAAGGGAGGGGTTAAGGGGGCTATAGCCTCTCCCATGGGCCGTGTTTATATGTATAATGTATCTTGACTATTCAATAGAATATTAAAACAATAAAAACGTTTAATATATAAACGAACATTGGTTCATTTTAATCAAAGGCTTATTGATGTTATGCCACTTGAAGGACTTATTCCGGCCAATTTAAATATGTATGACGATATAAATATTATAAAAGCTGCTAAAATATATGTCCAAGATCTCCATGATGATACCTCATCTACAATCAGGGCTGACCTGTTCATATGGAGATAACAATGGAGTCAAAATACTATTCCAAAACCGAATTCTGCTCTTGATTCACCCTATCATCGCATCAATCTTCGACCTAACATAAAAATACTTTTACAATTATTCGCCACGTTACCAGTTACCTCTTTCACTCCGGAAAGAACGTTTTCAGCACTTAATCGCTTAAAAATTTTTTAAGAAGCACCATATCGGAAAACAGACTGAATGGGTTAGCTATGGCTAATATAAATAAAAAAGAGCAATTCCGTGAAAGTGAAATAATAACTGAATTTGCCAGAAATTCGCCTAAGAGAATGCAGCTGTCAGAGTGGAGCAAGTGACTGAACACTGAAACCAAAATTATTATTATTATTATTATTATAAATTATATATTAATAAATATTTTTAAAACTATACTAAAATGCTTGAATTACGTTTAGAAACTTGGTGGTAGATGGTGAGGGGTCAAGGGTGAATTCTCATATCCTCTCTTACCTTACTTATCCAA